AAATACCCAAATATGCTGAGAAATCAACAGAAATACTTTTAGACTCTGGAAATATGATGTCGTAGCTGACTGTTTCTTAAAAGGCTTCCCATAGCTGTATGATGCACAGAGGAACCAGAAGATTAAGCCAAGGATAACCCAGCAGAAACACACTGATGGCAGAGCAGGGCTCAACGCTGTCTGGAAGGCAAAGACAAGTTTAGGTTTAGGTAGAGAAAGTATTCATTCTAGTTTTATATAGTGACACCATAGAGCTGCTGTACCTAATTCAACAAACAGAGTCTTCTGGATCTTGGTTACTTTACAAATGAAAGTTGTATTCTCAGAGATGGCAAAGCTCATAATGGTCAGCCTGAATCCGTATGGTTCAAGCTCTGTCACAAATGTGTTATGCCTGAACTTGGGTTCAGGCATGATTCCAGAGATGTTGGTGTTTATGATGATCTCCTTTTGGCCTTTGGACATGGAGAACTCATAGTCTGTGTGGTAGTTGGGTCTGGGCTCCAGAAGGCAGTCCACTCTGAGGTCATTATCTTCCTCTTGGCATACTGTAATTACACTCTCTTCATCCTGACACAACACTGGGATCATCAGAACTGAAGATGAGAAATCATAAGTCCTGTTATAGATATTTGCAAATGTGCATGATGCTTTGTAAACATAACTGTAAAGTCAACAGTTCAGCAGTACAGCAGTGCATTCATTCAATCATTTTTTTAAATTTTTTTTTTTATTTTATATATTTTTTTTTTTTTTTTTTTTTTTAATATTATCCTGAACCCAAGAAAACTTATTCAAACAATTACACTTTTAAGTGATAATTCACCCAATGTCACCATTTACTTATCCTTGTGTCGTTCCAAATCTGTATGACTCCCTTTACTGTGAAACACAAAAGAAAAAACTTTGAAAAATGCTGGAAACATGTCTATAGGGTAAGTTGAATTTAGGCATCTGGACATATATAACAATTTTAAAAAATGTGAGAAGTACCAGTCCTGTATTTCCTGTTTTAAGGCAAATTGAAGAATCAGTCAAGAAAATGGTTAATGTTTAGATTATTTTAATTAAATAAAAATCTCAAATTTCATTATATTAAATTTGTTGTATAAAAAATTAAAAAGTGTACAAAAAGATTGATTCTGGATTGAATGAACTAAGACATTATTATTCCATATTCTATGCAGCAAAGTGACACATACTGGCACATTCTTTATCTCTACCCTCCCACCTGCCCTATGCACTGGTTCTGAATTAGAGCAATTTCATCAGGTTAAGGGGATGCCACAATATTTTTACACTAGGTGTCTTCATCATTTCTCCACCATCCCCTCCTTCTCTTTTTTGTTGCGCTTCCAGTTTTCGTATCACTGTCACACTGGCTCTGTTCCAAATCTTAGTGAGCTGCCTAGCTGTCTAGTGCCTACATAGGCACACTGTTGTGGCAGATGACTGATATGCTGAACAGACTAAAAGTGACAGTTGAAGGCAATATATTATGTCCTCTGAATTCTTTCACTGGTCAACAGTCCACACCAATCGATTGTCCAGTTGAGTTTGTCCATCTGTCTGAAGTAGACTTAGTGGCCATTCACACAGGAGGTGTTTCTGTATTTCATCTGCCCTATTTCTAATAGCTGTTTTGTGTACATATGCAGACTGGCAGCTTTAATGATATTTCATGGAAAGTCTTTGGCATACGTGTTTGTATGTTTACACGCATGCAAAAAAAACCAAAAAAAAGTCAATTTATTAATGTGGTACAATTCATTATATAAAATAAACTGTACAAAATTAATTGTACTACATGAATAAATTGACAACCCCAGTTTTTATGCTAGTATTTGCCTATTACTTCTCCTCCACACCTTCTTCAAGCACACGCTCACCATCCTTTTTAACCTGCTGTGGGGTGTCGTCATTATTTCCTTCACCATCTTCTGTCATTTTTGATGACCCTCGAGTGTTTTCTGTCTCACAACTGACACTACTACCTTCACGTGGCTCTAGTTGACAAATGTTTTTCTGTTCCTCTTTCACAGCTGATAAAACTGAGCCCATTTCGCCTCCCTCACTATAAACAGTATCATCACATTCTGTACTGCACTGTTTGTTCAAATCCTGTTCCCTGATTTCTGAACTATGAGTTTCTTTCATTGCATGTTTTGAGAAGCTGTCGGTCTCTGTTTCTGCTTTCTTGTCCTCTGGCACAGACATGTCATTGTTTGTGTTGTCTGGATCACTGTTCTTTTCATCACAATCTTTTAAATGTTTGTTATTTTTTGTCTCTGTAGTTTCTGGAACATCATTTTTCTGCTTCATGCCTTGTTCTGACTCACGGCTCTTGTCTGTCTGTTCAGCATCATCATCTTCCTTTTGAGGCAACCCATCATTGTGGCACTGCTGCTGTGAGACACTGTTGTACTGTGCTGTACTGTCTGGATCAGTTTGTTTGCCCTGTTTATCCAAGTTAATGCTCATTTTTGGCTCAGATAGCTCTGGGTCATGTTTGTTTTCTTCTGGCATTTGTTCCTGACCACCTTTCAGTTCCTCATTTGTTAAAACCTTTTCTTTCTCCTTCTGCTCCACTCCAGGAAATTTGCTTTCTTCTTCCATGTTTATATCTTGGCCCGTGTAATTACTTAGGCCAATCTGATTTGAAGATGGGACACTGATGTTTATGGGTGCCTTCTCCAGGTTAGCTGGTGAATCTATAACAAAAATGAACAAGATAAGACAAGTTAAACCTCATCTACTCATCTAACACAATATGAATTACTAAAGTTTTGCTTCAGAAACAGAGTTCTGCTTTAACAACTTATTTTTTCTGTGGAATACAAAATGAGTATTTTAGAAATATCCACACAACTGTTGCCACACAATGTTCATGACTACCAAGCTCCAAAAGGACAAAAAAAACACCATCAAATCACCATGAAAGTATGATAAAAGTAGAATATACACCTCATGTGCTTCATTCAGTCAAGACATATGATAGCTTGGTGTGATAAACAGGCTGAAATTTCAATTGTTTTTCATTGAAGATTCTCCAAAATGGTGCAGATCTCAATCAAATATGGCACCTCTTGATGAATGGCATCATTAAACATCAAAACTGATGTCTGGTGGCAAATCTGACTTCAGCCTTTCAGTGTATAATATTTAGGTCTGCTCATCACATAAAGATATAATATGGCTTCAGAATACTTATAGAAAGGAAAATCATGTACAGCCAGATTAATCACTTTTATAATGCTATTTATTGCAGTTTGCGGAGCTTGACATATTGTCTTGAAAAGAGCTGTGTGAAGATTCTTCAAATTCTCATTTTGTGTTCCACTAATATCTATCATATTGGTGACATAAGTATGAGAAACAAATTGACCAAATTTTCAGTTTGATTGATCTATTCCTTTTTTACCTGTGTTCAGTCTGTCTATCCCTTTTTCTTCCTCTTCCTCCTCTTTTTTCTCTCCAGGTGTCTGGTCCTCCTCATTTTTATCTGCATCTTGTGTCTCAGTCTGCTCCTCAGGTGACTCTATCTGACTTTTCTCTTTCTCCATTTCTTCTTGGATTTGTAAGAATTTATGTCTCTCTCTGTCTGTTTCATCAGGTTTGCTGTTACCGTTTTCTTCTGCTTCATCGGCATTTTCGCTGTTTTTCTCATTTTTGTCTAGTTCTCCTTCATTTGTATTTCTTGAGTCCTCGTTGTTTTTTTCTGTTAAAGCAGACTGTGGACTTTCCTTCAAAAGTTTTTGTCCTTCATGAGTTTCTTCCACATTCTCCAATCCACTGTCCTGATCCCAATTTTTATCAGCAATAGATTCTTTTGGAGCTGTAAGTCTGGTGCGACAAGGTAGTGTGGCATCAGATGAACCTAAAACAAACCACTCAAAGACCTTAACAACAGATTCAAGTGTCAACCTTGAAAGTCATTCATTCTCAGTAAGGGCTGGAAGTTTATAGTGATATACAGCAACATGAGCAACAAATGTGATGTTAGCATGTCTAGTTACAACACAAATACTAATAATGATAATAATAGTAAATCATTTGTTACCTGGCATAGCCTCCGTTGGGACATTTCTCAACAGGTTATCACATTCACCTACATTAACAGAAAACTTTTTTCATTATTATATAAAAAAATATTTCATTATACAAATGCTCATGCTCTATCAACTCTCTATTTGAGTGTTTAGAACACTCTGTGTATAGCTGTGCTTATAAATGAAAAATACTGTCAGTTATTGGTCACTCATTGCAAAGTCCTTCCTATTTAAAAGGCTCAACGCATCGTCACAAAATAAGACAGGTTATCACGCAAATTATACAGTATGAAAATATCGTTTGGTGAATTCCAGCTTCCAGGTGGAACCAAAAATGTGTGTAGAGCCGTAGATCTTCGCACATTTGACAGCAATGGCTCCCATAAACTTCAAATGAAGCAGATCAGGAACAGCACTATAATGTGGTATAACAAAAATATTGCAATGCAGAGAATATTTATATACAATGACAAAATATATTTCTGATAAAATTTTAAAGGAAGCCAGACTTTCTGAACAGTCAACAAGCAATTGCTAACTAGAGCTATACAAAAAGAAAAAAAAGCTAACTAAAAGAACTGCTATTTCTGTTTTTATAAGACTATTTGAAATCATTGTTATAAGGATGTTTGAATTAAGATAAACTAAAGTAAACGAAAAATAATATAACTTTAGTTTTGTAGAAACAGAAAATCAAGCAAAGAAGAAACTGTAATTTTAAAAAAATTCCAAAGTGAGAACAAACTCTTATCTTACCATTTTCAGGATCCATTTTTTTGAGTTCAGACTTCCTTGCTTCTCGTGCATGCACATGACAAAAAGAAAATTATGTTAATCTGTGTAATATAATCTCTGTGTTAGAGATGTATTTTGAAGGTGATTTGTTGAATACTTTTTCATGGCACTTACACTGTTGTTTTTTACGTCTGTAGAGGAATAATGCCAGCACAGCGAACAGAATAATGAGAAGCACTGCTACTATTAAGACTGGAAAAAGCACAGGAGGGCTTACTCCGCCTGCAAACAAAACCATTCAAGAAATAGCATAAATAGCATAATAGCCTCTAAATCAAAGTCTCAAGGTATTGTTGAATGATTTCTAGCAAACCTGTGCGGCAGTCTTGCAGAGTAAAGTCTGTGGTCCTGCTTCCAGCTTTATTCTTCACAGTGCAGGTATAGACTGAGTCACGGTTTTCCTCCTGTTCATCAACAAGAAGTGTTGGTCCCAGCTGTTGTATATTAGGTCCACTCCATTCATAGCTTGTCTGAGTCTGGGATTCCACTGAACAGGACAGTTTTTTCAAATTTGAAGTCTCATCCAGTTCACAGGTTACCTGAGGGTCTGGCAGAGCATCTAGACACAAAAGCAGATAGGTATTTAGTGATAATCAGCTGATATTTGGTCATTTTGAGATTAATCAATCAACAATTAAAATTTATTTAAAAAAATAATGGTAACACTTTAGAATAGGGAACACATTCACTATTAACTACGAATTTTACCTCAATAAATTCCTAATTTGCTGCTTATTAATAGTTAGTA